ATGTGGTATCGTTGACTTTTGCTACCACCCTGCTATTGTTAACTTCGTGGTGAAGTCAAGCAAGCATTTCCATACGTATTGAGAACTCCAATAATAGACGATATTGTTGTTATGCATTGCAATAACACGCCAATATTCCGTTGTGCTGGTATTATATTTTGCCAAATTGATTAGGCTTTTTTGGTGGGAGTAAATGCATCAATTAATTGTTTTAAGGTTTCCTGTCGAATCACAGAATATTCTTTATCGCACGAAACGCTGCACAAATGTTTTACACAACCCGGATATAACAGATTTTAACTGGCATGTAACCGTTAGCAATACGAACGAAGAAAAAATCTCTGTTTATCACAACCCGTTTTTTTAAAATTCAGTACATTTAATTCCGTTTCTCTGTGACGAGCGCGTCTCGAATCCGAAAATGTTCCCTCGCGTAAATTTTATGACTCGTAAATACCTCTGCCACAAATTGGGCTCCAAATTTTAATGTAAAATTTCGCCTGTAGGTAACTCGCACTTCGTCACCAATTTATTCACAAAAATTGCAACAACCCAAATTTACTCGGTTTAAATACAAACCTCGAGTGTAATTCAGCAGGACAATTTAACGAACAAGAAATTTACCAAACTAATCAATTATTGACAGACGTCAAACTAGTCATATGGGAAAGGATAATGCTATAATTGGTTCAAAAATGAATAAGTGAAAAAACCACTAGTGCATTTCATAGTTATTTACGTTATAAGTCCGGTAGGTTACTTGTAACAGTACGAGTTAGACATTATGGACGAGGCGACGTCAGGAGCCGAGTCAAGAATGTCTTAAACGAGTACTGTTACAAGTACTACCGGACGTATATCGTAACGTATTTTATTGCATAGGTACTGTAAGTCTGTTTTGTATCGTTATTTCATTTCAAAGATTACAAAATTTTATTATATTGTAAAAATCGCATTACCTTGTTTCTGTGGCAACGGCCGTTGCTATAGTTTGTAGTTTGTTGACATTGAATTTTTTTCACTGACAATTCAACTCATGTATAAAAAATCGCATAAGCCGCAGTGAAATTGTCACTTTGACAGCGGCAAAAGTTACCTGCAACTTTTCCAGCGACAAATGCACTAGTGGTTTTTTCACTTATTCATTTTCGAACCAATTATCGCATTATCCTTTCCCATATGACTAGTTTGACGTCTGTCAGTAATTGATTAGTTATGTGAATTTCTTGTTCGTTAAATTGTCCTGCCGAATTACACTCGAGGTTTGTATTTAAACCGAGTAAATTTGTGTTGTTGCAATTCAAATCTGTTGCCTTTTAGCAATTGAACTCGAAAAACTGTCAACCTAAAAATGCTCCACCTGCGGTGTCGCATTTTTATTAGTTGACAGTTTTTCTCGTCTAATTGCTAGGCAACAGATTTTCATTACCTAAACAACCCAAATTTACTCGGTAAAATACAAACCTCTTGTGCAATTATAAGTGAAAAATGGACGCTATAAACGTTGTGGGATGTTCCACTGTTCCCGATACAATCGTGTCGAAATCTCATGAAGCAACCGAAAAGTTGGTTCCTAAGAAGTCGGCCGCAAGATATGAAAAAGAGTACTAAGTGTTTTGCCAATGGAGGAACGAACATGGGGCGAAACAAGTAGAGAAAAACGTCATGTTGGTATACTGTTTGGATGCAGTAAGTTTTTGAATTGAGATTTTTTGCCTGGGTTTCGGTGTTAAAGCGTCATGGGGCATGGAAAAGCTCATCGACGGCAGAAAAATACATCGAAGGCTCGGTAGAAGGAAAAGTTAAGATTGCCCGTATGATACAACTGATACAAGGCGGCGAAAATTTCATTGAAGTTCTACAGCAGAAGGAATCAAACATTACTAACTCGACATCAAGTAAAAACCCAGGCGTTAGTGTTGAGGACAATACAAATTGTTTCATTACAACCAATGTTAATGTTTGAAATAAAGAATTACAGCCAAATTTATGTTGGGGTTTTTAATTAATTGTGTGAAGATGTCAAATTTGATGTATACAAGTAACAGTTCGGTAAGTGTTGCTTAGCGACACTTACCGGCTCTGATGCTGTAATAACTCACCTACCGGACTCAAAATGATAGTGTAATCGAACATCTACCGGACAGTATGAAATAATAGTTATTTACATAATAAGTCATGAAAGTGGTCGTTTACATGACGCGGAGGCTTATTGAAAAGTACGAGGACGCGCAGCGTCCGAGTATCTCTTTAATGCCTCCCAGTCAGGTGGACTCACTTTCATGACGTATTATGTATAAAATTTTACCTGAAACCGCAACATGTAGATAACTTTTCCAAATTAAATTATTCATATGTGTGAAATTTTGATACCTAATCACGCATGCTAAAATGACATTAGGTAATCGTTTCCATAGAGATTTCAAAATAATTAAAACAATCGTCAATCAGTGTCATTTTTAATGCAGTTTTCAGTATATGCTTTGTACTTTTCAACTATACAGTCTTAATAACTAGGTACAAAAGCAGGTATCAGTGAAGAAGAGTACCTACGCGAGACGTTATAATGTAGCCGAAGATGCGGCCGCCGCCCATAGTGCAATATTCGCTCCCCACAAAATCAAGAAAGTACGAAAATGAGTACAAACCTTTTAATGACTGGCGCAAAACTAAAGGAATAATTACTTCCACACATATTCCATTAATTGTTAGTAATAAAAAACCATTATCCTTTGTGTAGGTATATTAATATTTAAAAATATCCACATAGTCTGCATTATAATTATCCAAACGTTGATTGAATAACTTATTCAATGAACGATCTAATTGTTATTTTGCAAGTACTAGGACTGTAATGGGAGTCTGGCAAAAATATTACAGTACTAGTCAGGTAAAGATCAACTTTCTAATGTCAAAATAGCCCTGAAATTTAGATTTTCTTGACGGTTTCAGGTAAAGGTTATTTTATACAACATTGAGTGCATTTGTCGCTGGAAAAGTTGCAGGTAACTTTTGCCGCTGTCAAAGTGACAATTGCACTGCGGTTTATGCGATTTTCTATACATGAGTTGATTTGCCACTTATCATAGCAGCAACGTTCTTGGCTGGAAATTTCCACTCAAAAATAAAAACCGATAACAGTTATGACTGTGACTTTCTTAAATTTTCTCCAACAACAATTTTTTAAGATAGAAAATTACTCGCGAAAGTAACTGGTCGGGAAATTAGCTGAAACAAAATATCGCAATTATGCGAAAAACTAAAATTCTGACCCCGAAAAATGATACGTGCGTACTTTCTGAAAGACTAATCTCGACTTTTTGAATTCGGTAGCTTATAGCTTTTGCACCTGAAAATCTTAACGATTAATGTGCACATGCCCAGACTGCACAATATCAACTTTCTCATTTATTGATGTATTTTATTGAAATTTTACCCACATATGCTTCTAGAATAGGCAACCATATCGCATATTGTGAATATCAGATGCGCAATGCCAACCTTCTTATGGAGACATCTCTTTGAACTAGTACACATAGCTATGGCCTCTAAGAAAGTGCTGATGTCTGGAATTTGGAAAATGCGAAAACCATTTTACTTGTTTAGCATCTCAACGGAACGCTTCCCAAAAGATCCGAACACTCTACAATCTTCTAATCAAGAGTCGCAATTGTATGATAACGTATTTTCGGCGCTCTTTACTGCCACTACTCTCATCGGCAGAACGGAATCTTGTCTCCTCTCGGGAGAAGAATGGTCTGAATTTTTCGCACCATACAATACCCGATTAGCGCATAGCAAAGTTCAGCACCTTAGACGTATAGGTACATGTAAAAGCTATTTGCAATTTGAATTTTGATCCCTCTCTTGACGCAACGATTTTAGTACTTTTCTGCGGGATCGATGTACCCGTCGACCGCACGTATAGTCCATCAATAGATCGTTCCATAAACAGAGTAAACATGATCAAATAACCGCAAAAGGTCGCAAATAAAAAAGTCGGGAAATACCAAAGTTTAGATTAGCTTCAAAATCACAAAATTATTTTGTAAATACGGAAAACCAATAATCCATGCATCACATGAATCACAACATAACAACAACAAACTATTGTAAACAATTTTGGTCAAACCTCCAATAATACAAACGAGGCGAAGACGAGGATTTAAAAAAAGGACTGTATCTGTACGTTCGCGAAATTCTTTCATTGTTTGCCGTTGGATTTTGCCACCAAATGAAAGGGGTACATCAAAACTGCAAAAAAACCGCATCTTTGTTTCAATCCCCTTCTGCCATTTTGTTGTTGCATTAATGTTAATCCTTAAATATTTTAGCTGGTCGCCCCTAGTGCCAATTCTAATCGAATGTTGTAACAAGTGTTCCGTAATTCGCAATCAGAAGTAGTTCATGATCAATTTTATTGCTGTCTATCGGAGGTGAATGAATTTACCTTTCGCCAAGAAATTTGGTAATTAATGCTACAGGTACCTACCGACGTTCAGCAAGAATTTTTGGCGAAACAGATTCTTTTTTATATTTTATAGAGCAACATATTATTTAAATGTTTGCAAAGGTGAAGGTGATCACCTTTGTGTTTATCCATCAACGTACAACGTATAGGATTAATGTTAATCAATAAAGTTTCAATATTCGTCAAATTTTGTGAACGAAGTGGATGACTTCAAGTATCTTCCCAGCGTGTTATGTAATGTTTCAAATTTCTCATGTTAATTATTGCACAAGCCTTGAGGGTATTAAAATTGGTAGTTTAATTACGAAAACAGTTATTACATGAGCGCAATGACTGGACTCTTTGATAAAATTGAAGACTGTTGCCCAGTTGTCAAAGTGCGTAAAAATGTAGATGCTGTCGCATAGCTATTATCAAACTGAATTTACAATTAGAGTACATAATTACAGTATAGATATTGGTGTAAAAAATTAAAGATTCACAGCCTTGAACAGTTTACAATGGCAAAAACAAGATATGCTGCGCGTACAACAGTCTGGGTTATCGTATTACCAATAGCGAAGCGAGATAGTTGATGCATTTTCCAAATTTCCAGTTATTAGAAGCGGTAATGGGTTCGTTCGGTTAATATCTCCAGCTTGTAACAATATTTAAGTAGTAGTAGCCGCAGTGGTGTGGACAGTGGACTGTGTTGTCTGAGGTGTTGAGTGACCAAGAAGAAGAGTAACCACGTTATTATAATAACAGTTCGCGACAACTCACTCAAGATGGACATCAAATCTTCGGGAAGAAAACAAAATCCAAAAGAAAAAATCAACCCCATTTTTGGACTTTTGTTCTTGTAAGTCCTTTTTTTTTAAATTTTATTAAACAAAGCATAGGGATTTCCGATGATGGCGTTGGTCTTAAACCGGTTAAATCATTGTTAGGTTTATTAGTAACAAAATATTATTCCGTTACGCTTACTATTTAGATGTCATGTAATTGTAACAAGGTACATTAACGAGGTTTCCTCTCTAATTATTAAACATAATCGCGTTTAATTAAATAATTGCTTAGAATGAGTGCCAATATGTAGGGATTGGGAAATTCCGCTTTAAAAAATCGTGTTTTGCAAAATCGTGTTTGAATTATCGGTCATGTTTGTTACTTGCTGGATAACTTTCATTTGAAACGCTTTTTTACGTAAAGTTAACGTCCATTTAAATGCAATGTTAAAAGGACGATTCCACATGAACGAGTATTTCATGCGCGTAATTATTCCTGCAAATTTACATACAATTAAAAATGCTGTTAATGAGAGACAATACACGTGTTTGTATGGTCTAGTAATTCCCAAACAAGAAGCTTGATTTTTACCAGAGTATGGGATAATGCTTCATGGATTTATAACAAAAAACACATGTTATCAAATTTAGTCATAGGGAGAACACTTAAAATTATTTACAATAAGTTATCAGTTATCAGTCTCGTACTGATAGAACATTACGGACAAAAAGAAATACCCATTTCGTAACTGAAACGGTCTCATCTTTGTTGAGAAATTAGGTTTAACATCTTGGAAAGTACGTCATAGCTACAACGATAAGTACGTGTTACGTATATGTGATTTAACATTTTTACGCAAAACGGTCCCGTGCGTCCAAGAATTTTAATGGAGATCACGCTGCGTCAGTTTACCTGCAAAATTTCCCTCAAGGTGCTCGGGCAGGTTTCTGCTGAAGATGAGGGGATATTCCCATGCACGACTTCACGCGCATTCATATTCTCTTGGTCAAGGTATTCCCCGTTAGTTGAGACGAAACTAATTATAATTTTAAATTTTATTTCGTTCACTTTTACTTGCTTTGCTGGGTCTTCAGCGTGTGTACCACATAGCGAATCGCCTAAACGCAGCTTTCTGGACCGATTGTTGTAATTCGATAGGGAACAGTATAGTTTACAAAGATGCTAAAAATACAGACCATTATTTATTTATTTTTCTCAGACTCCTAAACTGAAAATTCTCGTACAAATTTGAAGGACCTTGCTATTTAAGCACAAGAATCCCTCTCACTTAAACAAGACAAAAGTGCATTTTTATATACGTATCAAATAATATAATATATAAATGATTCGTTCAAATGTTGAAAAAGCAAGTCCATTTATATATAATTATAACCAATCGCAAATTATACCATGGAAGTTTTGCATAATTTATTAATTCTCGATTTATAATTTATATTTATTCACACATTATTTCCTGAATTCAAGAATGTTTAGTTTGTTTGTGATAGTTTTTCATATTAACTCCTCACCTTTGAAACAAGATCCTTGAGAGCTGCCATTAGTTGGGTATATAATTGTGAGGAATGACTGGCCATCAATACAAACTTAGGAAACTTCATTCTAATATTTTTCTCATGCTCACGAAATAGATTATGTTGCATTAATCACAGATAAGAGAATCTAAATTAAATGTATGATAAAGCTCACCTAGTATTTAAAGAGATCATAATCAATTAGATAGGAGAAGCTATTTTTGTTATGAGAAGGGATTGTTTTGAGGGGTCTACAGCGCTCTTACTACGGTTAGTTTTCTCAAACATCTTTTACAGCAGCACTATCAGTTCTAAAGAGCAAATGAATTGTCATAAACTTCACCCACTCCCCTTTATTAGATTTAAGTTAAATCAGTAATGGCACTCCAGCAATAGATTTGCATATTTAATGTGAATAACTAAGGATAACTATTCAGCAATACATATTCAAAAAATACAATCCATTTGGTAACACATTAAGAAGCAAAAAACCCTCAACGGTCATGTAATCTCTACCTCTACACAAGGGTAAAACATTTATCCAAATGTCGCCAAGAAACAATTTCGCTATCCAAGATCCTAGGCAAACAAGGAAACTGGGTACGGTTATTACACAACAGATAGGTACCAGTGTTTATTCATTAATTAAATGAATAAACAAAGCATTTATGTTGCTTTATTTATTATTACAAATTTCTAAAGCGCAGCCTTAAGAACCTATCGAGCGGCTGTAATTTATGGGTAATTATGGGACCAAAGTAAAAAATTTAAAAAAACATTACAAAAATCCGAAGAATTAAGGCAATAATTCGAAAAATGCATGAATTTTCAAAATTTTGCAAAGCTTTTTAATAATTAGAAAAATCAAAAATGTTTAATAAGTGCATACAAAAATTCGAGACATTAAGTCATTCGGAATCTTTATAAAAAAAATAAAAAAGCATTCATAAAGATTCAAAAGGCATTTGCATTATCTGCAGAGATCTGAAATTTAAAGCTTCCAGTGTTAACGAGAGTGTTAACATTCATTTTAAAATGTGTAGTACGAATATTGAATTTAAAACGGAAATCTTGAAAAGTCAAATAAGTATCAAAGTTTGATTATTATTTTGAACGAAGTTTTATATTTCACCTGAAAGCCAACAGTTTCAAAAATTGGAAATTGAAAGTATAGAAAATATTTGAAGCCGCGATTTTGAAGGAAATTTGAATAACGAAATTAAAAAGCTTATATCAATAAAAAATAAAGGGTGCACAAAAATATATCACCGATGCTTCAATAGTTCAAAAAGTTTCTAAACTTTTGGATTAAAAGACGTAAAAAGTATAAGACAAGATTGGGAAATGAAATGCCTAAGTTTACAATGGGGAGTATTGCTTAAATTTCCACTTAAAACCTTGGATTTTAAAAATTTGTAGCGCGAAGATTGCACTAGTTCATGAAAAGATGTATTTTCAAGATGAAACCGTGATAACGTCAAAATTCGAGAGTTGAAAGGTGAAGAAAAATATATGTTGCTGGTAGCTCAGTATGACAAATACATAATACCATTGAATAAAAATAGTGTTTTTATTCAATGATAATACTGAGATGTCACCGAGGATGTCACGCGGAACTATGTGTTTGAATTGACAGTTTTTCGTAGATTTAGGTAAACTTCAAATGTAAACCAAGAGTTAAACTTTCAAACTAAAATCTTGAAGACATTTTAAATTTAAAGTTTGAAAGATATTCGCGGCTTTATATTTGCTTGCTTACTAAAGTTTTCGCCGAGGTTTTCGCTATACTTAATAATAGCAAGTAGCAAAGGTTTTTCAGGGCTGTGGCGAAGATATTATTTCAGAGGAGGATTGCTTACGAGAAATCGAGAAAAACAAATAGATCTTTTCAGAGCGCGTGCATTTTGATAATTGTTTTTCCAAATTTGGGAAGTGGATTGAACTTCCACAGTGTCCCATCGTTTACGGCCTCGAACAGATAAGTTTTATTGAGACATGCAAAAATTAACTCTAAACGAAAGAAATTACCACTACGGTTCAGTATCTTTTTCAAGGGTGTAACCTCGAATGTAACAGCAATGACAAAAACTGACATGCATCTCATAAACAAGTAAATTAATCAATATTAACATAATAATTGAAATAGAAAAAAAACTCTGATTAAAATATTTGAGCACTTCAGAGCATTTTTTTATAGCCATGGTGCAGTGGAAATATTTAAAAATTAACCTTCTCCATTTTTTACAAGAATGTATCATCAACTTAACTCTTTGCAACGAATCATTCTTTATGATAACGGTGGCCATATTATCTCCTAATAGTCATTTCAGAGTTTATTTTGTAGGTGAGCGATATTGCTGGTCTATCTACGTTATCCATTATAGTGTATGACCATGGCTAGATTTGAAACAGCGTTGGAGACTTTGATCAAAACATACCGGATCCTCTTATCTGATATTGAGTGATATCTGTTGGATCAATCAATCATTCATGAATCATTCCATGGTCGCAAGATATTTTTAAAACACGCAAATAGTATTAACGGTAAAACGGTTACATTTAATGGGAAGTATTAAACCATGTTTTTTAACAGAGGAAATAACGAATCGAGCAGTTGCTTTATCGTTATCTGAACCATAATTGCAATTAAAACAAAGTCAAGAGTTATCGCTAAATATTTAATATCCATTTCAGTTTATCTCTAATCCTTTGTCAGCTTCTCCGAACAATTCAGGAAACTTTCCACGATAGCGGGTATTTTCTACAACAAAATCCCCCTATTTTTTTCGGATGTTATAAAATATTATTCTTACCGCCGATAACAATTGATGAATACTAATCCCTATCATTAGATATCATCATTTGATAACCGATAAACACTTTTACCAACAGTCGTAGCGTAACCATTTAATCTTGCAATTGAAGCATCGCACAAGGATGGGTCGCGGATATGTCAACAAATTGTATTATATGGCGCTGTATACTAAAACGCTTGTTTATTTCAGGCATATGATACCAATATTTGCCAAAAACTACAAGAAAGGTATACAAGAAGAAGATTTATTCGAACCTTTAGAAGAACACAGGTCTCATATACTGGGCGACAAACTGGAAGCTTTATGGAAAGAGACTCATCGTAAATATAAGAAGTTCGCCTTACACATATCCCTACTACGATCATTTGGACTGGAATTGTTAGCGTTAGGAATTTTAAAACTGATTAACAGTTTGCTTTTAGTGTAAGCTTCCTTAGTCTGGTTGTTCCAATATTAACCTGTGGTATTTTTTCAGTTATGTGATGCCGATAGCGTTAGGAGAGTTAATTTCGTATTTTAATTTATCGTCGACACTAACAATAGAAGAGGCATCTGTCTATACGGGAATCATAGTTGCTTACCTATTCATCTATGCCATCGTTGATCATCCGGCGACAATGGCCGTCATGCACATTTGCATGAAAATGCGTGTCAGCTGTTGCTCGCTTATTTATCGAAAATCTTTACGACTGAGTCGAAACTCCTTGGCTCATACTTCGGTCGGCCAAATTGTTAATTTACTTTCGAATGACGTGAGCAAGTTCGACGAGAACTTCCTGTTATGCCCTTACATCATTATCGGACCATTGCAGAGCGCGTTGGCCACGTATTTGCTTTACCGGATTATTGGCTACGCTGCGTTTGCCGGTGTTACCTTTATGGTAATCTTCGTCCCGATTCAAAGTAAGTAAAAGGTACCAGTGCCTTACAGCCATTAAAATTATCATTTTAGTGTACCTAAGTAAATGGGTGTCAGTCTATCGACTGCGTTCGGCCCAGCGTACCGATGAGAGAGTGCGACTAATGAACGAGATTTTGAATGGTATTCAGCTGATCAAAATGTACACGTGGGAGAAGCCGTTTGCTAAGCTAATTTCCTTGGCGAGAAGATACGAAATAAAGAGCATTCGTATTCAGTTCTTTTTGAAAGCACTCATGTACTCGTTTGAGACGTTCCTGCCGCGGACGTCTATCTTTATCAGTCTGGTGGTGTTCATCGCACTGGGCTACAATATAACAGGCGAAATTGTATACTCAGTTATTGCCATTTACAACGTCATTCGACCAATTATGACGGTGTTCTTCCCATTGAGTCTTGCGGCATGTGCCGAAGTTCACACTTCTCTGGGACGAATTGAGGAGTTCTTGCGCCACGAAGAACAAGAACAGATTGAAAGTGAACCAAGTATGAAACCCCACCCGAGCATTAGCAGAAGATCAAACATTTATATGAAAACGGTCTGTGCGAAGTGGTCCAGTGAGAGTGTAGGCAACACTTTAACGAACATTAACCTGGAGGTCAGTGGCAGTAAACTAGTGGCGGTTGTAGGACCCGTCGGAAGCGGCAAGAGTAGTATATTTAACTTAATTTTAAAAGAACTGCCGGTAACTAGCGGCGATATGCAAGTTAGCGGTAAATTGTCGTACGCCTCACAGGATCCGTGGTTATTCGCTGCCAGTGTTAGAGAAAATATTTTATTTGGAGAGCCGTATGATGAAAAGCGGTATAAGACTGTTGTAAAAAGTTGCGCGTTAGAGTCTGACTTGGCCCAGTTGCCCGGTGGCGACAGGACGGTGGTCGGTGAAAGAGGAAAGTCGCTTAGCGGTGGTCAAAAGGCGAGAATTAACTTGGCCCGTTGCCTGTATAGGCGCGCCGATATTTATCTGCTGGATGATCCCTTGTCTGCCGTCGATAGTAAAGTAGGTAAACACCTCTTTGAGGAGGGCATCAAAACCTTCCTCAAAGATAAGATGTGTTTGCTAATCACGCATCAAGTTAAATACGCCAAAGAGGCCGATAGAATTATTGTACTAAAGGATGGTCGTATTTCCGAGGAGGGTAGTTATGATGAGTTGATCACTAACGGAACTGACTTCCTTAAACTCGTCCAAGTAAACGTAAACGACGATAGTGGCGAACACGAGAACGTTAGCCACCCCACGGAAAACATGCAAATGGTACAGTCAGTCACAGGTGATTATGACGAAGTGGAAGATGGCGAGCAGTTAACCACAGGAAGCATTACAGCAGCTACGTATATCAGCTACTTAAAAGCGGGTGGCTTGTTCTTTGGATGGTTCATCATTCTTCCCGCATTCATTTTGACTCAAAGCTCGATGAATGTATGCGATTACTTCCTCTCGTACTGGTAAGTGCAAAGCTAACGTTATAATTTGCCTTGACATTTGCATTCCTTAGGGTCAATTCACTTCAAGACATTGATAATTTTAACCAAACTGAAATAACAGAAGACAATGACACTCTCTATGTGTACGGAGGCATAATCTCATCAATCATTGTGTTAGGAATTGGACATTCCATGCTCTTTTTCATCTTTGCCATGCGAATCTCGGTCACATTACACGATATGGTTTTCGAAAAGATATCAAATGCGACCATGGGATTCTTCAACGAAAATCCGGTGGGAAGAATTCTGAACAGGTTTTCAAAGGACATGGGTATCATTGACAACTACATACCGTTGGTCTTTTCCGAATTTCTTGAGGTAAACAATACGATTGTGAATTGCAAGTTTTAATTCCCAATTTTTAGATTATACTGATGCTGTTTGGCGCAATGATACTGTCCGTTGTGGTGAATGTATGGCTGTTGATACCGTCGATCGGGTTGATCTTCACGTTTTACGCCGTTAGAGTTGTCTACCTGGAGACGAGCCGGAGTGTCAAAAGAATTGAGGGCATTAGTAAGTGGCACACGAAAAAAGGCAACGCAATTACTGATTTTTACAATGTTATAGCTCGGAGTCCGATTTTTACACATTTGACGTCATCCGTACATGGGTTATCTACGATAAGGGCTTTTTTAGCTGAGAATAACTTAATACACGAGTTTGACGACATTCAAGATCACCACAGCTCAGCATGGTACTTATTTATTTCCGCTAGCGTTGCATTTGGATTTTGGCTCGATATCATTGCGAACATATTTATATCGAGTGTCATTGTAATTATACTACTTATCAGCGAAGGTAGATCAGAAAATATTTCTCATGTAGTTGTAATCAATTTGCCAATTTTAGAACACCGCGGCGGAGACGTTGGCCTAGTCGTCACGCAATACGTCAGCTTAACCGGAGTTCTACAATGGGGGATGCGACAGTTAAGCGAATTAGAAAATAATATGACTTCAGTCGAAAGAGTTTTAGAATATAATAACGTGCCCCTCGAACCCACCCGCAAATCAGAAATCGAGCTCCCAGCAGAATGGCCAGAGCAAGGCAAAATCACCTTTGAAAACGTTTCGATGAAATACTCCAGCAATAGCGAGCCAATCCTAAAACAGCTCAACTTCTCGATTTATCCCGGTGAAAAGATAGGATTGGTTGGCCGAACTGGCGCAGGGAAAACATCCACGACACTAGCGCTGTTTCAGCTTTACGACATAACCGGATCCATACTTATAGATGACATAGACACCACCAAAATTCCTCTAGATAAATTACGTGCAAAACTCTCGGTTATTCCACAAGATCCAGTACTTTTTACCGGTAGCATTAGGCAAAATTTGGATCCGTTCAGTGAGTACCCGGACGACGTCCTCTGGAACGCTTTGGAAGAGGTCGAACTCAAACATTCAATTGACGAGTCGGGTTTGCTGATGAACGTGGCTGAAGGCGGGTGTAACTTCAGCGTTGGACAGAGGCAATTAGTGTGTTTAGCAAGAGCGATAATACGAAATCAAAAAATTCTCATAATGGACGAGGCGACGGCGAACGTGGATCCGTACACGGACAACCTAATCCAGCAAACAATTAGGAGAAGGTTCTCAAATTCAACAGTGTTAACCATCGCCCATCGGCTGCATACGATAATGGATGCAAGCAGGGTGATGGTGTTCGATGCCGGAAAAATTGTCGAATTTGACCATCCGCACCACTTGCTACAGAACAAAGATGGCACGTTCTATTCAATGGTTCAAGCTACGGGCCAAAATATGTTTAAGAATTTGTATTCAATTGCAGAGAAAGTAAGTTGGACGCATGAGCACACGTTTTAAAAGACTAATTTCTTCTTTTTCAGCATTTCTTAGACACGAAATCGTAGACTGTGATAATTTGCGTTCGTTTTTTCATTCTTCGCAGTATTCTTTTCGTCTTTCGCAGTATTTTTTTTTGTTACATATTAATGTCGATATTTGTTAATAAATCTTTTGTATAAAACCAGTTGTTATATCATAACGAGACAACCAATTTCGTTAATCGTATAGATGCCATTATATAAGAGGACAAAACCTTATCATCAGTATACGTAACGCGGTAATTATTGACAACATTCCTAACAGAATCCCTAATTACCTTTGAATTGACGGCAATCCAACATTCTTTTAGCAAATAATAGTATATGATTCAATATTCTTAGTAATGATAGGTATTACTCGTGGGAATAATTAGTTGCAGCCTAGCAGGTGAGTTGTTGATTATTCTAAATACAAAAACAAGTTAAAAGGTCTACGCACATGTGCGGACGACGATACCGCATATCTCATACGTAAATCAGTATCTTACCTCTTGCGGTAGCGCTTCTTCTGCGTGGATTGAATTGACCGAGACGAAATGAGCCCTAGTTATTGTAAATGAAGATTTTTGCTCTACATACTTAACCAAAATGAGAGCATGACAGAAAGTTTACAAAATTTAATTCCTGTAGGTACCATCAAAGCAATGTCTTGCAGTTGGTCCGATGAAATTGGTGAACAAATAAAAATTTCGCTCTATCAAATCATCTAAAAATGGAGTAGGACAAGAAGACTACAAAATCTAGTTCCTGATGTGGATCAAGTCAATGTGTTTGGTTTTTCCAATGAAATTAGTGCATAAAATTGGGCATTGTCCCGCAGTGTTTAGGAAAAAAATTTCTTGTTACACTTATGACTATGAGGGATCCATATATCTATAAAACGAGACATGACGTATGTCCTGTTGTTTTTCAGTGCTAAGTGAACAACACACTAAATAGGTGAAGCAAAATTCCTGAGTTTTTTTATGCAAACAACTTCCATCAACTTGACGTATTAGGCACATGTATTTAGCTTTTCTATTATTTTCCAGCAAAACAGGTGCTTGACATTGAATTAAAAATCTTCGTCGTAGAGACAGATACACTAGTTGTAGTGTAGGTGTTATTTCATAAATTAAGGACTGATTAGGTAATTAGATTACAAAAGCTGCTTTTTAATTAATAGATTGTATTAGATTATATGATATTTAAATTACATTCTTGAAGTGTTGTCTATTTTCTCCAAATACCCAGACTGTTTATGTATTATATAAATGTAGATATATCTGTGACTTCGAATTATACCATTGAATAAGTAACCTATGATTACTTCCCTATTCAATGAAAATGATTATACTCTTCTAATATTCAGGGGGAGCGGTAGTGTTGTGGTCACGGTGTTAGTAACCAGAAATGGAGGAATTTTTAGTCTCAAAATCGTTAGAGGTTGTCATTTCCCTAACATTAATATATGTAGATTGAACGATAATAATAAATATATCCTTAATTAACGTAATTATGGTTTGATATTAGGTGTTTTTCCCCGATTTTGGTAACGTGTCTGAATTTTACTAGGTAGCATAATAACACTTCCTTAGCGCAACTCCAATTTTGTTGTTTGTTTGCGATATAGGACATGTATGCCACCTTATATTGAGGCTTTAAATGTTTTTGTTTAAAAGTTCTTTTAGATTTCATATTCGCTTATTGAAAGCAACACTGCGGAGGTCAATAATAATAATAATAATTGAATCTTTACTGCCCTGGCATAAATTTCGATATAGCAATATCAATTTTTAATAATTTACCACGGCTAGCTTAGGAATGTTTTTCTTCCATGGAACTCTAATAAATACGCATATGACTTCAGTTGATTGAATATATTAATACACACAAAAGTGATCGAGTTCCATTTTTCTATAAACGTTCCTATCCAAAATGCAATGCCTACTTCGTGATCACGTGTCCTTGCTAAATTTGATTTCGTCTAGAGATTTTATCTTTATACATACAGGGTGACAATTTGAAAACTTACCACCCTCCATATCTTAGTAAATAAACGAGATATTTAAAAAAATCAAAATCTGTTTCGGTAATTCGGAGGGGGAATCACAATGACATAGTTGGCGACGCACCCCCTCCAACCCCTTGCGCCACAGCCACCCCAACTTTTAAATCTTAAATAGTGATCCCTCATGTGTGATACGTCGTTGGAGAGCTCTGAAAAAATGCTTTCCAATCATACCAAATGGCATTACATTTAGGTTAGTAATTATCGTGCAAATCAAAAAATTAACTAATATGATACATTTGAAATCTGTCGTATTTATAACGCAACCGGCGAACATAGACGAACTAAGACAGAGAATAATTCAAGAATCTCGAAATATTGCAAAATCAACATTTGAAAAGGTTCAACAAGAGTTTGAGAATAGATTATAACTGGCGATCAAAAATGAGTTGCTGTCGAGTCGGCTTTGGAAGTTCAAGTTAAATACGATTTTCCATGTAAACAAAAATTTCAAAGGGCGACTCGACAGCAACTCATTTTTGATCGCATAGTAATACTGTCTTACCAATAACGGAAAACATTTTGAACATTTATTGAAATAAAGGCCAATTTTAGAAAATGTATCACATTAGTTGATTTTTTAATTTGCACGATAATTACTAACCTAAATGTAATGCTATTTGGTATGGTTGAAAAGCATTTTTTCAGAGCTTTCCAACGACGTATCACACATGGGGGGTTACCATTTAAGATTTAAAAGTTGGGGTGGCTAGGGCGCAGGGGGTGTGAGGGGGTGCGTCGCCAACTATGTCATTTTGATTCCCCCTCCGAATTACCGAAACGGATTTTGATTTTTTTAAATATCTCGTTTATTTACTAAGATATGGGGGGTGGTAAGTTTTCAAATTGTCACCCTGTATAATGGATTACTGATACATCCTCTTGTGGAAATACACAACTCCTTCTCAATGGTAAATAAAATTTCAATCCAATCAAACTGAAATTAGATGCAAATAAAATTCCAAGTTACTGAAACAAAATAACCAAAATCCTTTCCTTGGATCTGATTCTTATTAATTACTAAAATACAATACCAGAATCTTTTTTATACAAATGGTTCTCATAGGCCGATTTCTTCGGGAATGTCAGTTATTTTAAGCAAAATAAATATGCAAATTCCTAAAAATAAGCAACCACTAATTTATACAATATAAAATAATCAAACAACTGACTATGCCTGACGTGGATGAGATTCCTTTCGGGTTGCAATTGATTATCTCTGTCCCTCTCTCTGGAAAAATTCCACTCCCTTTCAAAAATATGGAAATAGACCACTGCAACGCTACAGTTGATCTTTTGTACCAACCTGGTAATGTTAATTTCGTGGTGAACGCAAAGCAAAAATGTTATTATGTACTAGAATAAAACGCCAATATTCCGCTGTGTTGATATTTGCCCAACTATAAATAACCTTTATACTGTGTGTAAATGCATCAATTAATTGCCTCTAAGTTTCGTGCCGAATGGCGTTCTGTACAAAATATTATTTATCGCACAAAGCGCTACACAAGTGTTTTACACAACGTCGATAAACAGCTTTTAACTAGCCGCTACTGTTTGCAATGCGAACGAAGAAAAGGTTTCTATTTATCACCCCGAGTTTTTATTTAATTTCAATCTCCAATTCGAAGATGTTCCTTTGCGTAAATTTTCCGAAGGAATACCGGTTTCGGTCCGGTTTTCGGTTCGGTCCGGGTCCCTGGGTTTAACCAATGGTTATCTCAAATTGCACACTTTTTATTAAAAACACACGCGTTGTTATCGCCTTTTATTTCTCGCCGTAATTTTGTTTCTGTTCGCTATGAAGCGGTACATGTGTAAATCTTCCTATGCTTACCAAAATATAATATTGTAATGTGATAACATAATATTGTATCTACATTTGTATTAATTATTAATCAGTTCCTAAGCGAGTTCATGATTTTAGACTTTCTGTCCGTCCGGCCGTCTGTATGCATGATACCTCCGTCCACTGGCGTACTTGATAATGACATCTCGTGAATGGTTTCGAATTTTTCAATTCTGTTTTCAGTACATATTACGTTTATCACCACTCAATAAAGAACTGATTAAATTTTCAGTGACCCAGGAGCTCGCTTGCTATATTTGTTACAAGTTTATTAAATATAGCAATATATTGTGCATTTTGTTGCATGTCTGTACATGGCTTTATACGCCAGATGATAGTTTAGTTGCCTATTTATACACACCTGTCCACATTGAAAAGTCGTACTATCAGATATGAACAAAGACGAACTCTGGAAATGGAAAACATGTAAGCTCCTCCAGGTGTAGAGTTGCGCTGGATGATTTAAACAAGTAAACATTTTGTTAACCAAGGGTTTTCCTAATTGGATAAAACACTTCTAAACCACAATCGATGTAAAAAATACCGCATCCTATAGATAATCTACTTTACCCTAAGTGCCGATATTGAGCGGATTTTCACATATAACGATAAGCAGTTCATAATATTATATGACATAAGTTGTGCAGATTTACCAATTAATCTAGAACTCTATTTAATTTCATTTAATTGTGAATTACATCTGAAAAAAGTTAAGTAGATGCTCCAGAGGTACTTGGAGGATGGAGGAGAAAGTTGTACTACAATCCACCTTTAAAAATCTACGCGACAGTTTAATTGCCTAGTTCTAGTACATTACGATTTAACGCTTTTAAATTAAATTAAATTTAAAATTAAATTAATTCATATAAAGTTCATCACTTCATCTAATTTTTTTCTATTTTTTTTCCGTTCTACTTATGGCGCACATATGAATGAACCTGCGTAATCTCAACTGGAATAGTTATTTACCTAACAAGTTCGGTAAGTTAATTTTCCCGCATGAGCACTTTGTTTGCAGCACGACCGTAGGGAGTGCTGCATTTAGTGCGAATGCGGGAAAATTCTTTCCGAAAGAGTTAGGTACAATATTTTTTGTAACGAATTACGTAAAAAAAGGTCAAAATTAATAAAGTTTTGTAAATTAGCTTTTTTTTAATCATGAGTTGGTAACACAATCATATGTTTGGTTGGTAACATAATTTTGTAACTACCCACTTTTAATAATGCACTGGTCACATTTAAAACTTCCACATCTTTGGTTA